CTTATCTATAAAAACAGAATAGACAAACGTGCTCTTTATTTACCAAAAAAAAAGGATTCAAATACTTGTTCTATGAATATCCGGCTTAACAGAAGGGATTTATAGAAAATCGACCAATTACACTCGTAAATTCCATTTAAGCATCCTTATGAGAGAGATTTTCCCGTTAAGAAATGGCCAAAGGCAGGAATATCCAACCTTGGAGAGCAGTTATAGTTTCCTCTTCCACAAATCGCTTGTTCTCGGAAGGCATTCAGTGGCCGGGCTGGATCCATTTGGCCGGGCACCTGCTTTTGTCACCTGAGCGAGGACCAAAGGAAATGTTCGCATTCGCAAATGAAGTGGCACCCAGCCCAATTCCCGGCCCATTGAATCCTACCGCCCACCTGGACAAGTTTCCGTTGAATTTTTCATGGCTTTCTGTGTTTTTTCTTCCCTCTTTTTTTTTTGGTTTGTTCCCTGCCTCGTTTCCGTTTGGCAGTTCCACTTTTGGACTCTAGTTTTTGGGTCTGTTCCGAGGCAGTCTGGCATGTATTTTTTGAGTTGGTAATGTTTGGCACTTTTTTTTATGGGCCAACTTGCACTCAAGTTGCCCCGAGAACTTTTGGCTTTTGCTTCCGTTTGGTTTGACTTGCCAACCTTCCCTCTGTAATTTGAATGTTCTGAACTGTGAAGCGAGCGACAGAACAAACTGTCGCAAAGGCCCTGGAAAGAGTTAACTTGGCTAATAAAGTGAATCCAGTCAGCCGACTTTGCTGCTTTAAATTTTTGTTGCTATTAGAAAAGTTTTCGTTAGCTTTGGTGCACATTTTTCCCCATTTTTTGCTTTTGTGATAATTTAATAAACTATCAAAAGTTGAGAAAGATTTAACTTTCGCTACGCTTGGAGAACAAATGAAATTGAAATTCAAGCTGCATAGCCGAATCAAGGATTCCACAGGACCTTGGCAAGTTTTGCGAAGATTTTCGGGCCAACAGATTCATAAAACTTTAACTTTCGGTTCAGCTGTAGTTATTGTCTTATAAGGATAACAAAGAAATGATCTACAACGGAATATTCATAAATAATATTCAATTAGATTTCTTTTTTTCCTTTTTGTTAATACTATTGAAATTACTTTTCTATAATAACTTGGTCATTTTTGTCACGACCTTTCTCTGTATCTTTTTTTTCATCTAACCACTGCGGCTACTTAATTGTGATATAAGCTAGATATTTTATTTCATACGTACCCAGCACGTGCTGACTATCGTTTGGCTCGGATCATCTTCAAATATTATATTTCTTATATATTTTCTGTTTGACCAAAGTCAACAATAAACGACAAACTGGCCGCACGTGCACTAAGTTTGTTTGACTTCCTTCACTTCCTTTTTGCCTCCCTGTTCATCTGTTAACTTTCCTGTTTAATTTAGGCCAAACAGCAACTGTCCTGGACAAAATGATTGATGACATTGCGTAGCCAGGGCAAAAAAAAGAAAAAGCAAAAATTCTACTTGTTAGCGGTAAACCAAGCCGTTTACTTTCCATTTTCCGGATTCCTCGCGAAGCCTGTGAAAATCTCTTCCGACCAAGTTAATAAATTGTTTGCTGTATTTGTTGCAATTAGCGCCTACACAATTTGGCAAACTTTGTAATGAAGTCGCTGTGGGAGAAACCTTTATCAGGTTTCGCATCTTGTCTTGTGTACAGTAGAGACTCTTTTAAAAAAATAATTAATTTTCGAAATATAGACTTTTTTAAATCTATACTACTTTTAAACTAGAGAACGAAAAAAAACAAGAGGAAATCTGCTTGATTTCCGCACTTCTTGTTAGCACTTTTTCTAGTAAAAAAGTTCTTGAAATTAAGCGTAAAGTGTTCTTGACTTGATTTTTTTGAGAACAAATTACACTCATTCTCGTTTATTGAGAAAAAGCAGTCTCGAAATCATCCCTAAGTTCTTTTTGATAAAATAAAATTAGAGAATTCAGAAATTTGGAAGACATCCTTTTGGAAATGTTTCGGGAAGCTTAAGTAAGTGATTATATATATTTTAAATTTAAATGATAGTATATAGTTTATTTGAAATGGTTCAGTGGTTATTGAGCAGAATAAATGCTTTCATCTTCTTTCGATCTTGGTTTTAGTGGATTTGTTTTAACTTATAAATGTTTATTCAGGGAATTTTTACTGTACGAAACTCGGTGTTTGCTCTCTGTCTTTCTTCCTTTTTCCTCCTTTGTTCCGTATGCAAGGCACGCAAATTTGTTGCCAATAAGCGACAGAAAACAATTTTTATAAGGCTTGACTGGGAAGATGACTGGGTTAAGGGTGCCATAAGGAGATTGGGGTAGGGGGTTTTAGGAACTGCCAGAGGGGTGTCCTTTTTCCTATGCGTGCTGCGTGCTCTTCTGTTCTTGCGCCTTTTCCTCGCCCTGTTCTCCCCGGACTTCCTGCTTTTTGGATAAAGCCAAGGGTGAGATGGTGGCTCTGGGACCCCGGAGTTGCTTAGCCCGGATCCAGAATGTAGGTCATGTTGGACTCTGCTTCAAGGGGCGGCCACTCGTAGGAGAGAGGAATTCATACATACCCATTTCCACCATCGAATACACTGCCAGAATTCATTATACATACACAGAATTTTTGGGATGTTGGGCGGAGTAAGTCGGAAAAGCGAGAAGGGAAACGAGCGGAAGGGAAAGTAACACTGTTTCCCATGAATACGTTAGCACGGACTGTAGGTGGGCGTGGCCAACAAACTCCCACGCCTTGGATATGTGCTTTATTATAATAAAAATTTCATTAGAAAATTGACTGTTGACGTGTCGCATGTGCCGCACTTCCTATTTCCCCTACTCAGTGTTTTCACACATCATCACATCATAAGTACTGGCGTAATGTATCTTTCAAAATTTTGTTAAATTTAAATATGAATAGATAATATGTTTAAGTAATTGAAAATAAGGGAAGTGAAGTTGCAATTATTTCTTAAGTCTAAATGTTCCATAATTTTAGCTTTGAATTTAAACTATCAGATTGAGTAAAAGATTTTATTCGAAAACATGGAGAATTTAAGTTTCTGATAATGTTATTTTAAAACGAATTCTTTCAGCTTATTTTAATGCTGATTTTCTGAACATAGGAAACGCATTCCTAAAAACTTAAGCTCTTAATTTAACTTCATTTCTTTTTAAAAGTCTTTTTTTTTAATTTTTTTTACGTAAGCCCCTTGATATTCGTAAACCTCATAACATTCTTTACAAGTAGTTCCATATCCAATCAGTTGGAAAAGTAACCCTTTCAAGGGCTGGCTAATCATTCTATGCCACAAACTTTTCCACTCAGTTGTCTGGTCAGGGCCACATTGCGTATACGCGATGCGGGCCAAAAGGACCGCTATCAGTCTAGCAATCCCTGCTCCAATCAACCTAGACAAATGAGGGTCCTTGTCAATATGAGTAATAGCTCATCAAAGTTTCATTTTCAACCTTTTTGTCTTTTTGATACCCTGTGCTTTGTTGTTTTTTCCCACACTTTCCGTGCATGCAAATCATGTAGAACTGAAGGAAAATCAAATGAAATTGGTAACTTTCGACAAACCATTTAACCCGAAACTGAAAGTATGACAGAACAAAGTTTTATTTATTACGGCCAGATCGAGGGGGGGGGGGATGGTGCATGAGCTCAAAGGCAAATGGTCTTGTAATACATTTGGTTATAGATGACTAGATATATTTATGGTTGTTTCGGCTTTTTGTCACCCAAAGAGTCAAATGAAAGTTGTGACACATGCAATAATTTGATTTTGCTCGCAAATAAATCGTAAAGATTGGGAATCAACAAAGTGCAAACAACGGAAAACAAGTTTTGGGGCCTGCTATTCGTTTTCGTTTTCAATTTTCAACTTGCCCCTAAAGAAAGGACCTGTATCCCCCGCCCCCACTATGTTTGTTGTGGGCGTAATGAGACAAAAGCCACCTCACGCCGCCCATGAAGCATGTTTTATCGATAATTCGTGAGTGCGACGCAGAAAAATCACCAACCATCCCCAAACCCACCGACATCTAAACCACTCCACTTCATTACAACCACCCCCAACCACCCACGCACTCACATCCATTTAGTCTGTATAACAAACAAATGTTTTTTGTATGTGTCAGGCGCCGGTTTCCCTTATTTTCCTTTTCCCTTTTCCCATTTTATTATTATTATTATATCTCTTTGTTTTTTTTGTTATCCGAAAATCGGTTTTTGCGGACGCTCAACTGACACGAAACTTCAGTGGAGTACATATATATAGATATATTTGGATATGCACCATAAGAAAATTTGGTCTTAAGGAAGCATAGATAGCATAAAAACTAACTAGCAAAAATATAAGTGGAAAAACTAATCTATTTTAAAAGCTATCCTTATTATAAAAGTATAATATTTTTTTCTAGAAATCATCACATGTTGAACTTTCGATTTCCGACTTACAAAATGCGTAATGTTTTTGTGCATGTGTATCCCAGTTCTTTAGATGGTTCCGTTTCAAAGGTATTGACAGGAAATTGGAACCGGTGCTTCTGAAGGTGGCGGTGTTTTGCCTTCCTTTTCCTAGTTGATTTCTGAGCTGGGTGTCATGTTCGTGTCGAATATGGAGACATGTGCCCCAATAATCGTCCCATAAAGCTAAAAATAATATGAAATTTATTGCTGTAAATGACAAAACTAAATTTACATACGGAATATGTCTACACGTTTGATTTATTTGTTTACCTAAGACGACGGGATTCTTTGAATCGATTGATTGACATTAAGTGGGCCATTAATGGGTTAACATTATACATATGACTCAGTTTCGTATGTAATATAGGAATTGTCCTCAAAGGTAGGCTATTAAAAATTTATTTTTAACTACTTTACAATTAAAATTCCTTGGTATAGGTGATATATTATTACCCATAAATTACAAGGAATTGTTATTCAATTAGCGTGACAAATAAGGCTCATACATAATGCAGCGCAATGGAAAGTGTTTTGGCCAAGAAATGGGAAATGCAGCTCAAGACATGCAAGCCGCAGAGAAAAAGCCCTAAGCTTATTAATAGCAAATGAAGAAATGTCAGGAAAAAACAGCGCAAAATGTCAGCGCCATGTCAGAAAGCGCATTAAACAAGGGGAACGGGAAAAGTGCTGGGAAAACAAGGCGGGCGAAAGTTAAATGAAAATGGAAAATAATTAGCAAACAACTGCAGTGAAAAGCAACAAAAAACAGAATGAGAAAAACGGAGGGGCCTTGTCATGGCTCGCCTTGCTGCCCGAGATTACGATAATTATATTAAAAATAAACTTTTTATGGTATTTCATTCATTTTTATTATTATTACCAGAGTGTTTGACCTTGTGTTGCCCCAAATAAAAACAAAAGAAACGCTTTAGCCACTGGAAGAACGACCATAGCAACAAATAGCGATAAGCATGCCATTCGCATGACATGCAATCCATTCAAAATGTCCCAACTAATTAAAGTGCACTTCCAAGCCCTCTGGTTTTTCTATATTTCCACCTTGGATTAATCATTTTTAAGCTTTTTGCATACTTTTGGGCGAGCAGGCATTGTGGCATTGCAAATGCAATTTATTCAAATGCAAAAAAAATCCTCGTCTTTCGTAACCAGAGCTTAAGCTGCACTTTATCGCCAGGTAAATATAAAGAGGTCAAAGGGGAGGGTTACGAAAGGTGCGATAAAAACTGAAAAAATAACAAACGCATGCAACCTGGCAAAAACAACAGCAAACAGCAATAAAAATATGAAATATACATGGAGAAAACGGTTTATTTACATATGAAACACGAACTCTAAATACACTTTTTTGTACAAGAATATATTGTCCACAATGGTGAATTTTTCCCAAAAAATCAAAACTCATTATGTAGGGAATGTACTTTAATTTGTAGGTATTTAGGAGGCGGAACATTTACAGCTTTACATGGAATTGCAACGAAATGAGCCCGTGACATGACATGCCGACGCAGGCCTGACATGGAAATGTGAGGAGCCAGTGTGGATATGGAAAAAAGTGGGCACTGTAAGTATGTACATTGGAAATTTACAGAGAAAAAAAATCTATAATTGTTTCCTTTCTATACAAATTAAAAATTGAGTAAAGGGTTTAGAAATACCGAGCCTATAAGTAAGTAGTTAATAATAAGATTTAAAAAAAAGTATTTTTAAATATGATACATATACAGGGCTTTAAAACCACTTTAAAAAGTAATTTGAGGTGTCTAAAAGTATGCAACGAATGAAATATTCATGGTACTTTTGAGTTTAAACTAAAATGTTGCATACTTTTAGACCCCTTTAAAATAAAATGTGGTTTCAAAATTCTACAGTTTGATTTTGCAGGTCTGATAATGATTATTGTAAAGTCTGTAAATTATTGGATTGTACAATTTGAATGATCTGATATTTTTCTACAATTATTTTTCAAATATTTTTACATTTTATTTTTTGAGTGAAGGTAACTGGGGACTTAAAACTCGCATGATGGACGGACAGGCAGAAGACTGATGGTTCTGACGCATGGAGAGTGGGAAAATACGAGTGGCAGCCAGTGCGATAACTTTTTTACTTACGAATACTAACAATTGCTGGTCTTGCGACCCCCAACAATCCACTCCCTTCTCACTTTGGTAATTGTATTCCTCTTGCTATATTCCGGCTTATTTTGGGCTGGGGTAATTATATAAGGCGTTTTCGGCAAGTTCATGAAATTTGTATACCAAGGACATGTTAATTAAAAAATTTCGTCAAATAATATGGCTTACCGTGAAAAGTTTGACTGAAAAGTTAAGGAAAATGAGTCAGCTGGTGCTATGATATCATCCATTTTAAATTGGCTTTCTAAAGTTATCTCGAAGTCTAGCAGGTTCAACTTTGTATCGCTCCATGTTGGCTAAAATGTCACAATTTAATTGACTTATAGCAACTTTCATTTTTACACCATTAAACTTTCTAAAACCTTTCCCAATGTACTGTTGGCAAAACTAAATCCCACCTGCTCCAATTTCACTTCAAACAATTGGTATTTATTCATTAGCTAATTAACTAAGCGCCGTCACCTTCTATTTGATCGGGCAAACATTGGCTTTGTCTTTTTGGCCATCCCCCGGATTTTGGCAAACACAACGTAAAAGCTGGAAACGTTTAGGGTCTGCTGGTTGTTCTCGAATTTCACTTTCGTTGGTATCAAATATTTGCGGTTGACAAAGAGATAACAAAGGTAACTGGTATAAAATCGAGTGGTTCAATTGTTTCAAGGCAGTTACAATTTAACCAGCAATCCGAGCGACTTAAACCAAGTGGCAATATGAAGTTCTTGGCCCTAATTGTATCGACCTTTTTGATCCTGAGTCTGGCATCTCAGCTGGAGGCTCGCAGGCGATTCTACTGCCTGTGGAGCACCAAAAGGACCTGCTCCAAGAGCACTCCCACATGCATCCGTCTGCAAACTGGAGTGGCTAACAATGTGGCCACCTACACTTGCAAATACTATCGCAGCGATTGCCAGTATCTTCTAGATAGTTGCAAGGGCGAGACAAGTAAGTATCTAAAAACATATATATTTTTAAGAGCATTTAGGTTTATTAACATTGAAGTTACATTTTTGTAACACTAATACCTAGGCTTTGACCTTTTGTATGAATCGGTGAAAATGGAATTACAAAAACATTGGATTATTCATTAACATTTTTCCCTCATTTTTGTTTCTGCAGGTTTTGGCCTACTTGGATCATCGGCGGATGTGCAAACCAATTGTGTTAACAATGGTATCGCAATTGGAGGAACTGGAGCCTGTTAGTTTAATAAAAACAATTTAAGTTCTTGTACTATTCCAAATATATTGCTATTTATTAAAAGCTATTTTCATTTAATTAATTCCAATGTTACAATATCGAGAATAATACTTTCTGTCATTCAATCTCAATCGCCGATCAAACAGTGAAAGCATTCATTTAAACGGTTTTGGGTGTTTTTTTCAACTCGTTTAGTTTTTAATGGCTTTCATATCGCCATGATGTATGCTTTAACATTTTCCCTTTTTTCGCTCTTTTTAATTGCATTCGCATAAATCGCACTACTTGGCAGTGGGGAAAACGAGGGGAAAATTATGGTTATGGCCACGCAGACAAGTGCACAAGCGCACACATACATGCGGACAATGTAAATTTATGGAGCTTCGCTTTTTAGTTTGCAATTTTTCGCCATTTTCCATTTTCCTTTCTTTTTTTTTTTGTATACAGCGGATGTGAATGGCGAACGCCTGCGGATGCAATTAGAATGGCACAGTGAACACTCATACTCATACCCACATAAATAATTGTTTGTATGACTGAAATATAGGTCATTACGAAACATTTGGGTAGGGAAAGTTCAAAATATTAGCATAATTTAAGAATAAATCTTTTTACTCGTGCTTTGTACTATTTAAAACTGTTCTGCTCTGTGGGTTAACACAAAATTACGCATATTTAAGAACTACTTTTTAAAATAACTCTGTTAAAGAGGTGGTAAAACCACTTGGAATTGCCATTTTTAATTAAATTTACTCAATTAGTTACATACATGTTTTATTTACCCTTTGACAATATATTTTCTCAACCTCTTCGGATAATAATGGGCGTGACGCTCGATGGAGATGATGATGATCCCAAAATTGTGGAGAGAATGCTGGCCAAGGCAGAGCTGGATGTTGAACTCGATGAAGATGAAAAGGTGCTGCTACAGGTGCCAGTATTATTGACAGTTATGCTCGTACAGTTGGCCAGGTTTACCACATTCCAGCCTGAGGATTATATAAAATATAAAGTTTTGAATATTGTTATCGGGGGAGTCCCAGAAAGCTCTATTTACCAACGTTAGGATAAAATTACAAAGAAGTACGATAATTTTGATGAAATTCAGTATCAGTTCTATCTAGACACGGGACGTAATGCTTTAATATTTTCGCCATCTGGCTTTTTTCTCTTTATTACTTTCTGTTTCGAAGAGTTTCGAATCTTGCTGTCACTCTCTTACTCAGAGCAATTTACTTGTTGGATATGTGAGAATTTTCAAAGGGAAGTATAATTTATAAACCGACCTGCTATATAGATACGGGACTTAACACTTTGATATGTTCATCATCTTGATTTTTCCTCTATATTTCTGTTTTGAAGAGTCTCGAATATTGCTGTTTCTCTCTTACTCAGAGCAATTTATTGTTGAATATGAGAGAATTTTCAAAGAGAAGAATTATACTTAAGAAATTTACCATGCCTATATCATAAGTGTCCCTATTTATTTTTTCTGTACACAAAATAAACATAGATTTCTTAAAATTTCTAATACTTACAGTAAACTTATCAATAGCTTTAAAAATTTTGATTTACCAAAAGATTAGTTAGTTCTATTTAACATCCATTAGAAGATTTCTGCGACACCCCTATATGTATGTTCGCAATTTTTTGGGTAAATACTCACTGGAAACACTTGTCTGGCAATTGGCCTGCTCCATGAGGCACCTGTTCTTGAACCGATGACACCTGCGGGTGGAACTCCATCGACCGCAGACATTGGAGTTGACATAGCAGCTCGTGGTGGTGGTGGTGCATCGGGAGGCGGGTGTGGAACTGCTGCTGGAGGAACTGCTGCCGTTGCCAACAACAATCACCGCCTTGCGATTGGAGTTACGGGCTTTTATCGATCGTCTTTTCAGGTTCCTAGTTCGGGCATTACTTGTTTTAGATCGCGATTGACGGGGAGTGTTTCTAACCAAAGTCCTGGCCTTCGTCCTCTTCTGATTCCTTTGGGCCTCGGTGGCCACGACGATCAGTGCGATCAGCACCAAAAGTGCCAACGTCAAACGCATTTCAATTTATAGTTCTTATCTCGATTGCGTTTAGCCACTTATATACTCTTTTATGGCGACCTTGGAAGATGTTTACCATCACAATTCTCCTTTCCCTCTTTATGTACACAGAATCTTTTTTAGTTTCAACATTTCTCTGCTTAGTCTTTGTTCAATCCGCATTTTAGTAAATTCGCATAGATCCCTCGCAATTGTGTAAATATATTTTAATTAATCTAAAAGCGCAAATAATACGTCACATGAGCCGTTTAAAAATATCATTATATTTGAAGTTCAAGTCAACTGTGAACTCGGAATTCCTGAGGGAATCTTCTGTATACTTTCAGGCTGCTTGTAAAATTTATTTACCTGTTAGTCTTTCTTTAATAAAAACACAATAGATTAAATTCACAATGAAATGGGTATGTTAGTCGCATTTACTCTAACCAAAAAAATTATTATTTGCTTAATTTTGTTTAAATCTTCCCAATATTCAAAAAGTTATTTACTATTCGCTTTTAGAGTTTAACTTAAAGTATAATAAAGTAATACTTGTCGAGTAATCACAGAAAATGAAAATTCTGTGTAGATTAGGCATTACTAGGGGAATAGTTTTAATGACCTGTAACATGTCTTTTATGTGGTGTTATTAGGACATGATCTTCAAAAATCAAGGTGGCCGTTCTCTATCAATAAAAATTGTGTTAAGGTGTCTCCAGCTTAAAATGTTATGTTGTTATTGTGTTTTTAAATAAAATGTATACAGTTCTAGGTAAAATATAAGAGAGTTTAAGTGTATACCCCAAACCAAACATAACAGGGTACACCTCACGAGCTGTTAAACATTTTTCTAAAGCTGATCTAAGAAATACAAGTCTGGGAACCGCGATATCTTGTTTTAGAGATCGTCTGGACATTACTTAATGGATTTTCGAACTTGTTCCTGCTTCCGTTAACGTTTAGGAATAATAACGCCACCAGGATGATACAAACTAAAGATGATGCCTTTTTTGTGCTTTTCACTAGCTAATTGAAATGGGCGTTACCCATCTGGTGTTAGTATAAAACCATCTTATTTGTTTTGCAAAGAAGGAAAACAATTGGATCTACTTTATTGCCCAATAATACAAATTGTCACCTGAGCAAACAAGGATTTTAAATTCGCAATGGTTTTTGGCTTTGGTCTTTAACCTTGATTGCTATTGACTTTTTTATTTATATTTGATGAGGTATGGTATTAAATTGAATTAATATTAGATATATGTCTTATGTGTTTAGCAATTTTAAATAAGTACTATTTTGATGATTTAGCGTGTTTTTTAATGTAAAACATATCCTTTAGGGTATGGAATTTCCCACTCGTAATTTAATTTCTATGTGTTTAACAAATTTAAATAAATACTATCTTGATCATCGCCAATGTCTATCAAATTGGGATTTCTGTAGAGATATAAAACATTTAATAGAAGATCACCAAATTATTAAAAGGAATACGAAAACTGGATCAAATTTTGAGATTCCTAGTCTTAGTTTGAATATTTTTATTAACAGCAACCAAAATCAACCTCTGCGTATGATTATAGGTATAACATTTGAGGATGAAGAAGAGGATGAGGACGATGATCCGCCGCAGGTTCCTCGGGAACCCACGCTGATTCCAGAGCATTGGGACAGACTGACGGCCGTATATTTGACGGAACTGGAAGATACGCAGGATTCATATCGCATGGCGCAGCTGTTCCTGAAGCGATTGCACAGATTGGAGCTTCCATAGCGAGCACAGGCATTGGTCGACGAGTTCCAGTTGCAGTTGTTCAGGACGCAGATCTTGGGCGAGGAACTGCTATTCGAACTGCCGGAGTGTAGGCCACATGCGAATACCACGATAAACAGGACCGTCGACAGACCCAAAGTGCTTTTCATTTTGCTGGTGATTTAATAATGAACTATACTGGCAGCTCACTTAACAGCCGGGACTATTTATAGTGGCTCGAGTTTCTATGCTCCGGCCTAGAGAGCATGGCCAAGATGAAAGCACCTGTGCAAACTAAAAAGGGAAGCTTATGGTGAGAGTTTGGCATTGGCTGAGAAAATCACCTTGGCCGCTTGTGTTTTATGGCCATTGGCTTACGCACATTGCCATTTCAACAGAGAAGATAGCCAAAAGTGAAAATCTAATCCTCTCATATATTATGTCATTTTGTTTGAATAAATGAATATCATACCAAGACTTTCGATTTCGATTATGTATTCGGCACGCTACAACAGAAAATGTACGTGTAGGTAGATAAATATTTACTGTTGCGGGCCGAAATCATAAATGTAATATAGTTTATTTATTTTATCGAATGTAATATCATTTTTCGTTACAATTGTTGATATCAGAAGTGTTTGTTAAAGGCGCGTTCGCCACTACTTTTTACCTCGTTAAGAGGTGTTTTTGTTTGATAAGTTATATTAAAGCTCAAAGAATAACTGTCTTCTTTCTACTTTTAATATGAAACTAAAGAAAAACTCGTTTATTTCGTGAGTCGTACATTAAAAATCCGAAAAAAAACTTAAATGTTCTTTTTAAAGTAAATCTTATAAATATTACGGTCCTTGAATGTTACACATAATACTGGAAAAATATTTTCATATTAAAGACATGTTTTTACCCAGTTATTTTAACAGCTACATTTCAAAGGAATATAGTTAAAATGGTTTCAAATCAAAACAGCTTTCAAGTGGTTAAAAAAGTCGTGTCGATTGCAATTTAGCAATATAAAATGTTATGACAAAAAAATAGTGTCGAAAGTTTCGACACAGATCTACAAGCTTTTATTAAATTATTTATAAATATTTGTATAGTTTATTAAATTAATGAAAATGTACAAATTTATTTGTTTAACTTTTTTCTCACACAAACGACTTGTGAAAAGTCTTTAAAAGAAAAAGAGTAGAAAACAAGGAAGAACGCTATAGTCGAGTACCTCGACTATCAGATACCCGTTACTCAGCTAAATAGAGATATGCAAGCAGCAAAGCGAGATTAAAATGCGCCACCTACCGGCGGTATACAGATTTAAGCGTTATGGGCGTTAGAGTGGGCGTGGTAAATTTTTTTTTTTAACCAATCGATAGGTATTGACGAGATCAATACATTTCAGTTAAATTTTTTTTATCTAGCATGAAAATTGTGGGCGTCACAGGTTTTCGCGGTTTGTGGGCGTTAAAGTGGGCGTGGCAAACTTTTTTTTGGGTCAATCGATAGGTATTGATGAGAACAATACATTTGAGTTAAAATTTTTATTCTAGCATCAAAATTGTAGGAGCCACAGTTTTGGGCGGTTTGTGGGCGTTAGAGTGGGCGTGGCAAACTTTTTTTTGAGTCAATCGATAGGTATTGATGAGAACAATACATTTCAGTTAAAATTTTTATTCTAGCATCAAAACTGTAGGAGCCACAGTTTTGGGCGGTTTGTGGGCGTTAGAGTGGGCGTGGCACTGTGCTGAAACAAACTTGCGCTGCGTAAGAAGCTCAGGAATCTGCACGCCAAATCTCAATAGCCTAGCTCCCATAGTTTCCGAGATCTCAGCGTTCATCCGGACGGACAGACAGACGGACAGACGGACAGACGGACAGACGGACAGACGGACAGACGGACATGGCTAGATCGACTCGGCTAGTGATCCTGATCAAGAATATATATACTTTATGGGGTCGGAAACGCTTCCTTCTGCCTGTTACATACTTTCCGACGAATCTAGTATACCCTTTTACTCTACGAGTAACGGGTATAATAACAATAGCTTTCGATCTCGTTTAGACACACATTTGGTGCGATTCGTCACCATGTGGATTGCAGAAACTGATTTTTACTTCACTAGTGTATAATCTACATCCACATCTACATTTATTCCGTATATATCCTGTAAGTATGCAACTTATAAGGGAAATTTTTTTTCTCGTTTCTTATTTTGTAAACTATTGTTCTTAAAACTCTATGATAGTTTATCATATATTATATTCCAATATTCCATCTGTTACCTTTTAAGGCCTGCTAACACTTACTTGATTAATGACTAACTGACTGGTTTTATTTTTAAAAAGTCATGGAAACCTAAACATGAATTAATACATAAATTCATTAAGGTTGATCTGTGGACCTTGTTTTCCATAGGTTCCCATAACTTTGTTAAATAAATCCAATCAGTCCAATCTCCAGCCAATGCCATTAGGGCTTACTGTTATGAAATTTTACTTACCTAGCTAATATGTTGTTTTTTTTCATTTCAGTAGTTTTGACTTAAAATAAAACCGAACATGATCATCAGGCTCAGAGATTCCAATGATTGAAAGCAACTACTAGTTTTACAACGAAAAACAAAGCTCTGGAAAATGCGTAATCCCCTTCTGTTGTTTTTTTCCCACTGCACTTAGAAGTGCGTGAAGCGCAGAAAACAAAAACCAATTGAAAACAATCGGTTCACGTGCACTTTGTAGTTTTTGCTCTTTGCAGTTGAGTGTTTTGTTGATTTTTTGTTTGTTTATTTATTCCATAGACGCATTTTTATTAAATGCCGTTGACGGCATTGTTAAGTGATTTTTGGTCAAGGCCGCAAGGCAGTTTCGTTAATTGGCTTTGAATTGATTTTTTGAAGAGCACTTGCATTACCCACTTCTCTGCTTATATCTTTGAAGTTATTTGGTTGAATTTTAAGTTGGCTTCTAAACGCAATCAGTGAAGTTGTTTTATGCAAAGAAACCGTTTAGAGTCTGGCAATTTACCAGCCGAAGTAATAATGCAAATTTATGCATTATTTTGTGAACAATTTCGTGTGTGCGTGTCGCCCAGTGTTTTACCATTAAGCCCCAGGCTTTGGGCCAAGTCAAGCATCCATTTAGGCCGGCAATTAGTTGCCCATTGAATCGATAACATGTCTAAGTCATCATATCGCAGAATTCTGCTTGCCTGGCCAACTATGTCAACTGTATATAATGTGTGGGTAGTGAAAAGTTTGCCACACTTTCTATTGATTTGAAGTGACTTCACCTTATGAATGGTGGCGTAAATGGACTGTGAATGGTTGCTCTATTAAGTAAACTAAAGTTTAACAACAGTTAAGGTTTTAAAGAGCGGGACTCTTATAATAAGTATGATAATTTCGCTTTAATAAGGTTAAGGTTCATGCATTTTATAGAATTAATGGTATTTTCGTTTTACTACTTTGTAAAGCATTTAAATTGACTAGAATATGCTATTTTAAATATAATTGTGTGATTCCCCAATTGTAGAACAGTGCTAACCTAGGAATACTCCTTTTTGGTGTGGTAGTGCCCTCATAAGATTTTTTAACTTAAATGAACCTGCAGTTTAATGATTTCATAAGTACCAACATGACTTGCAAATCACTAATCACTACATTTTTCAAAAATTTGTTATGGCTTACATATTTTGTAAAAAGCACAAGAGACCTTAAAGATAATACTCCAATTAAGTTCATATCATAAATTGATCAGTGAAGCCCCGACTGATGAAATCTCATAACTAGAGCTGAAATATATATCGCCTTATTAAAGTGCATTTCCCCTCAAGGGGCGTCATGATTTTGTCAGGCATTTTTAATGAAACTGCAGCCCATTAATCAATTTGCCAGACTCAATAAAGCTATAGACTCTAAACAAAAGATCAATTATATAACCCCGACCAGTAGCAACCCGAATCGGATCATATTAATCAGCCATTCGCTTGGTGGCACTGAAAATTGATGAGCACCAAAGGAGAAGAAATGATGGATAAAAAAAAGAAAAACAAAAAAACCAAGGCAAAAAATCACAGAGAAAATGTGGAAAAGAGCAGAGTTGTGGCCTGAAGATGCCACTTGTAGTTGCGGCCAACGGGTTTGGTTTTGCCTTTTGTCGCTTTGCAGGAAGTTGCAAGTTGTCAGCGGGCTGGCCGCATTTGGCAATGGCCACTACAGGGGATTGATGACGCCGTTAGTAATGGGTATGCAGGGGTATACACGAAGCACAATAATTTGGGTTCATCATAAGGTGGCGAGCTCGCACTTTAAATTGTAGATAGACTAAAGATACCTTAGTATCTAACTAAAATTTGTTCAGTTCATTGATCAAATTAATTTAAATGAATAGTTAATAGATAATTTGATATAATAATAGTATTATATTATATTAATAATATTAATAAACCGAAAAATAAAATTGACTACAGTTTGTAAACAAAACTGGTAAAGCAGAATCAAAATATTTTAGCCAAAAAGTCAGATTATGGATAGAGCTTGGCTTTATGACACAGTTACATTGTAGGTTATTGTAGGTACTTTCAACTCTAACACTCTAAAACGTATAATAATATTTTGTATAATTTTATACAAATTATTAGAAGGCTATACAAGTAAATTAGACCATCGAAGCTTTCTACGGTAATCCGGATTTTAATTTATGGTGCTATGTGTTTATAAAGTTAGGACTAAGACCAATACAAAGACTATGATAATATTGAATGTTATTTAAATATTATAAATACAAAGACTATGATAATATTGGATGTTATTTAAATATTTATATTTTTTAAAGAAAACTTAACAAAATGAAAATATAATTCTTATAATATGAGCCCAGTTAGTAGAGAATCGCACTATTTTTTTCGAGAAGTACCACTGGAACTCGGAGTATAATAGCTAGCTTCAAAAACCTATAAAGCCAAGGTTAAGATAACCAAATTGCACATAAAATGGGTATCAATAAAGCTGGATTAAACCACGTAAAGCCGCAGCGACTACCGCCTTAAACAGATCTCTATTTGATTGCTGGCGCTGCAATCAAAATTATTTAATTCGGATGCGGCAAATGAATTTGCAGCCTGCGATTCGCGTGATGCTGCCAATGCGGCAATCACCAGAGACTGCGCCCCCGTTTA